TTGTTATCAGGTCAGGCTTTGATCTTGGAAGGCCAATAGGAAACAGTATCCCTGTGGGACCAGAAGCCAGCCAGCCACCAACTGCTGAGTGCCAGGTGATAGCAGCAACGGCCACCCTAGGACTTGGCATAATCGGCAGGTGCCACCCCCACCCGATCTTGCCTCCACCTGGTAGGGCCAGTGATGCCTCTCCTTGCCCGTCACCCCAGCTTCCGATTCTCCTGGCAGTACCACAGGACTCAGAGTCTTCAGAAGTAACATTTCTCTCTCTCAATCCCAGCCATGACATTGGATCACTTCCAACACAGGTAGCTACTTCATTGTGTTTTCCCCAACCCCCTCCACATATCCACTCTATAATCCAGGTCACCCCACAACCTTCAGCTGCCCCCACCACACATACACACCCTTTTCCCAGCTTCCCTACCCGCCCACTACCTCATGCATCTCTGAGCAATGGACCTTGCCACCAGAGTCTGCCACATGCAAGGTCACCAGTATTCCTGCCAAGAAGAGAGGAGGTGACTCAGTTCCTACTTGCTCATCCTAGGAAAGGAGAATGAGGGGGGAGGGAGGAGGGATATAGATACCCATTTGCTTTTGCTTAAAGCTTCATCATAAAGAAGACTCAGCTTTGCTGCCACGTGACCTAATGTGTGTTCCCTCCAGTTAGCTTCACAAACTTCTGGGAAGATTCACCCCATTAGAGATGGGAATACTGAGGTCCAGACAGTGCCTGTGCCAAGACCGAAGGGCAGAGGTGCTCTCCAGCTGTTCTGATGCTTAGAAAAGAACCAAGTCCCCCACACCCCGCCATGTCCAGGTGCATGCAGTTCTTGCCCTCAAGGAGACTCCAGTCTGATGTAGGAGGTACAGACGCTGGCCCCAGGGACTCCCCAGTCTGCTGATACTAGGTCGTGTCCTCAAAGAGCCCCCTGTCTAGTAGGCTTGTCCCAGAGGCTCCACTCAAATGAAAGAGACGAGGCCTTGGCTGAGGTGGCCCTCAGCTAGGTTGAACAGTTGGGGCAGCAGGACCACAAGACCAGCAGCCTGGTCACTGAAGGGCAGTGATGGGGCAGGCCAAAGGTTTGGGGTGAGGGCAGGACCTACAGCTTCTCTCCGGGAGAGAAAATGAGCTCCTTCCTGAGGAATCTGCTCTCCTGTGAGTGTTGGAACAGTGAGAGGGGGAGGTCTGAGCACCTGCAGGTGACTGGCGGTCCACCTCCCAGGGGGACGGACTAGACATTGCTCACCACGAGGGCAGAGGTTGGCACCTTTGTAGCCAGAGGCAGCTGCCCTCAAAGGCAGCTGGCTACAAAGGGGTGAGGACAAAAGGGGTGCAGGAAGTGTTGTGATGGCGAGAATAGTGGGGCCCAGAGGGTGGTTCCAGAAGGGTTAGGATTTTGGAGGAAATCTGTTAGAAAGATCCTAGCTGAGAAGAGCAGCAGGGAGACGGAGAAGGCAGAAAAGGAGGATGAGGCGGTGGAGTGTGAATGCCGGTGAAATGAAGTTATTAAAATGAACCCACCCCCCTGCGCAGGCAGAACTGTGTGCCAGGCAGCCTGGCCTTCCAGCTGTCAGCAGCATCTGGCTCTCCGCAGGAGGGGAGCCAGAGGGGGTGGGTCAGAGTGCCCCCAGGTCCTGCTGATAGTTCGGCCAGGCCAGACGGAGGAGGGGCCCAGGGCCGCCACCCTCCTCCTCTTTTCCCAGTGCCCACAGGGCTTGGGTGGGGGTGGGGAGGGGGGCTCCTGGCTGATGTCCAGTGGGTGGGTGTCCACAGGTGGGACAAAAACCAGGTTCCAGTAACCCTAAGACTCCATGGCAGGCCCTGAGCCCCTGGGTCTCTTTCAAGTCCGCAGGGCAGGAAGAGAGAGCCGTGGAGGAGTGGAGGAATGTCTCAAGTCTGCTCAGGAGACATGGCCCCAGGCAGCATGGTGCAGGGGAAAGAAGTGGAAACAGAGTGTGAGCTTCTCAGTCACTTCATAGAACAAGGTGGCTCCCGAGGCCCCGTCTAGCTCTGCTCTGCTCTGCCGTGTGAGGGGTCTAGTCCATGCTGAGTGCTGTTGGACGGAGAGGACAGGCTGGGGGTGGTGAGACTGTCTTCTCCTCATGCTAGGACTCTTCTCACTGTGGCTACACGGTCAAAAGGGACCCAGGGGACCGGAGTGCTGCCCTCCCAAGAGAGCAGACCTAAAATGACCTCCAGAGAGGGCACTGTGATCTTTGGA